CACCAGACTCCCCCAGTGTCCCACCCTCTTCAGCACCCAAGATCCCCTCATGTCCCACCCTTTTCAGCCCCTGTCCCATCCTATCCAGCACCCCCAATCCCCACAGCCCCCTCCCCTGAGGCCATGCCCCCTCCCCCCACAGGCTCCTGAGCCCGGTGCTGTGTGACTTTGAGGTGATTGGGGTGCGGGAAGCGGCTGAGCTCCAAGAGGCCTTTGTGCTGGGTGGGCTGGAAGCTGTGGCGGCACGGCTAGAGCGGGGGCTGGCAGCGCGCTGGGCCACGCGGCTGGACATAGCTGTGGTGGGGCCGCCAGGTACCAGCACACAGCCCCTGCTCAATGTGCTGCGTGGCTTGGCTGATGATGACCCCCAGGCCGCCCCTGCTGGCACCCCAGTGCCACAGCCCACGGCCTACCCCTGCCCTGCGCAGCCCGGTGTGGTGCTCTGGGACCTGCCCACGTCTGCACCGGACACCCTTACCACCTACGACATCGTCCTCATCCTCGCCACTGCGGCCTTCAGCAACAGCCACATGGAGCTGGGCCGTGTCGCGGGCAAGCATGGCTACTTCATCCGTGCTGCAGAGGTGCTGGAGGAGGAGGAGGCTGCAGCGCTGCGCCAGGCGAGCCGGGTGGAGCTGGCGGCCCTGGGGCTGCCAGACGCTCTTGTCTTCGTGCTCAGCACTCGACGGCCAGAGCGCTATGACTTTGCAGCCTTATGGGAGGCACTGGTACGAGCCCTGCCGGAGGAGCAGGCCCGGGCACTGACGCTGGCCTTACCCCCACTAACACCAGCGCTGGTGGAAGCCAAACGCCGGGCACTGCATGCTGAGGCCTGGAAGGTGGCGCTGGCAGCCAGCCTGGCAGCTGCCGTGCCCGTGCCCGGGCTGGCACTGAGCTGCGATGTGCCGCTGGTGCTGGATGCCCTGACCACATACCGCCATGCCCTGGGGCTGCACGCCGCTGGGCTGGCGGGGCTGGCGGCACGCCGCGGGACAACCTTGTCGGTGCTGCGGGCCGCTGTGCTCAGTGCGCCAGGCCGGGGTCTGAGCCGTGAGCTGGTGCAGGGGCTGCTGGGCCGGGCAGCTGGCGGGGCACTGGGTGGGCTGGCGCTTGAGCTGCTGGTGCACCGCCTGCCCTTCTGTGGTGCACTGGCGGCTGGAGGCCTGACCTTTCGCTGTACCCATGCGCTGCTGGGCCACTGCATCGAGGAGCTGGCTGAGGATGCCCACCGTGTGCTATGCCGGGCCTTCGGGGAGCCCCTGCCCACTGACCCCTGTCCAGGCCAGGGTTAGGCCTAGATTGGGACTCCCTAGAGGGAGAATCCCCCACTACTGACCAGGATTGGCATCCCCTCACTTCACTGCCCCCACCTTGCCCAGGATCAGGTCCAGATCGAGACCCCTAGAAAGGAGAGACCCTCATCTGCTTCATTCCCCCCTGTGCCCAGGATCAGGTCTGGATTGGGACCCCCTAGATGGGAAAGACCCCAACTTCATTTCCCACTTCCTGCCATGCCCAGGATTGGGTCTGAATCGGGATCTCCTAGAAGGGAGAGACCCCCGCACAACTCCACCCCCTGCCCCAGCCAGAGCCCTCAGGATCCGGCCCGGATTGGGACCCCCTAGAGATGAGAGACCCCCACTCCCTGCCTTATTTCTGCCACTGCCCCCACCTTACCCAGGATCGGGTCTAGATCGGGGCCCCTAGAGGGAGAGACGCCCCCCACAACTGCTTCATTGACCCCCACCCGCTGCCCTCCACCATGCCCAGGATCGGGTCTGGATCGGGACTTCCCATAATTAATAAAACACGTGTTTTAATTGCTCCCCAACTCCGAGTCTTCTTGGTGACGTGGGGCGGGGGGGCTAGTAGTTACAGCGCGGGAGGAGCCGGGGGGCTGAGGGCCCGGACGCCTGGGCTCTCTGCCCCTCCAACCTGGGAAGAACCCAGGCGGCGGGGCTGACACAACCTGCTGGGCCGGGCGCTAATTAGGGCAACTGATGGCCTCCGCCCTTGGGAGCGGCCCCGCACCCCCACCCC